AAGAAAAGAGCATACTCCTTTTTAAAAGGCCGGCAGCACACCTGCGATGTCGTAGGTGTTGTGGGTGATCATGGGCGGCGGTAGTCACTTACCATCAGGTGAGCCGCATGCTTGTTTGCCCCCTGTGTTGTAAAAAAAAATGTTCACTAATCAAAATAAAATAGCCTATGGCCTTCTCCATCGCATATAATAACGTTTACATCGAAACAAATAAACAAATTTATTTTTACATTTATAATATTTTGATTGTCTAAAAGTAAACACATAAAGCTCAGATATAACAAATCATGGAGTTATCATGAACATCACGGTGTTTTCTATGAAATTCACGGTGTTTTTTTTTATGGGTGAAAATGGTACTCTTTCGTTACTCTACTGTATTTGTGAATAATTCTTTCGTGGTTTTTTTAGTTTATCTACTTATGTTCTAGAACTTGATTTGTGCGTTTATTTATCAAATGGATCCATTTAAAAATGTAAAGGAATCGTCAGATCCAAAAAATGTTTAGTAATTTTTTTTTTTTTCTAATAAAACATATTTTAAACATTTTAGACACATACATTTTACACAATCCAAATGTATGATTGAAAAATTACGCTCAATTTTTACTCAGTTTCGTGTTGTGTACATATACATATGTGTACACGTTACTCCATATTTTTGTCTCTTTACTTACTCATAACCTCTGGGGCGCCACTCAGCTACTTTAATAATAATGCACGAGGTCATTAAACTTTGCTAATTGAAATTTACTGGCTCCCTTTTTGTGGCAGTCGTGTGCCCACTAATTTTATTTTATTTGGCTAGTTCATAACAATTAAAATACGGGGGGGCATCATAATCATAATTTTAATACATTTCCAAGAGTACTGTATATTTTTTTGTGTATTAGCTGCGAAGTGTGGCTTTGTTCGAGATTTTTATGATAAAAATTATACCCACTAACAATAATATTTGTTAATTTGGAAAATTTCTCTACCATATTTCATTAAAATGCGAAATATATATAATATCATATATATATATATATATATATATATATATATATATATATATATATATATATATATATATATGACTTATATTCAGCAGCAGTCAGTTAATGGCTGATGTGATATGACGATGATGATGATTACATTAAAATCCGTTTAGGTTTTTGATAAACGTGATTAAGTAACAAACAGTCAAATATCTACACCACTAAATATATACACTAAATATATATACACATCAATAAATATGTTCATATTATTTTAATATGAGTATAACACTAATGTTATCCTATTGATCTTACTGTTATCAACAGCAGATTTATTTAATATAAAAACAAAATTTTGTAATATTACAAAACATACTCATAGTATATTTTTTTATGGATGATAATGGAATGGTAACCCCGCCTGCGCTAACGGTATACGCTGGCGGGGCACCAGTGATGGATGATAACAGAATGAAAATAAGAAAGGTCAGTTAGCCCATCGTAATGAATACATTAGGGATTCAGCACGATGGTTTCTAGGGAGGACCACGTAGAAGTCGGCCTGCCAGGGTATATTGCTAGCAATGAAATTGGTAGACCTCATTACTAACAATCCCCTCCCCTTCACTTATAGTATGTTTTATGTTGTAAACACATTTGTTGAAAATAATAAACATAATTCATAAAAACAGGGTAGGTTATTTTAATACGGAGTCACGAACACAGTATTATATGTATGTGTTATGTTGTGTATATATTTGTTGACAATAATAAACATAATTCATAAAAACAGAGTAGGTTAATTTAATACGGAAGAGTCACGACACACACTCATATATGCTTTATGTTGTAAACACATTTGTTGAAAATAATAAACATAATTCATAAAAACAGGATAGGTTAATTTAACACGGAGGAGTCACGACACAGACTCGTGTGTTATGTTGTGAATACATTTGTTGATTTATTGACAATAATAAACATAATTCATAAAAACAGAGTAGGTTAATTTAACACGGAGGAGTCACAACACAGACTCATATATGTGTTATGTTGTGAATACATTTGTTGATTTATTGACAATAATAAACATAATTCATAAAAACAGGGTAGGTTAATTTAATACGCAGGAGTCACGACGTAAACTCATATATGTGTTATGTTGTGAATACATTTGTTGATTTATTGACAATAATAAACATAATTCACAACAACAGGGTAAGTTAATTTAACACGGAGGAGTCACAACACAGACTCATAAATGTTGTGTTGTATATATATTTGTTGACAATAATAAATATAATTCATAACAAGAAGGTAAGTTATTATCAAGCGTAGGAGTTGCGAAAAGTTCCTAACGAATAAAAGTATTGTTGGAATACCATTTATCGTGAACTTTCTAATGCTTTAATGAATCATTAATTAAGTATAATAGACATTATACAAGAATACTGGTGGAATGGAAGGATTATTAAGCAATTCAAACTTCGACACTGGAAGACACTATATTAAGGTTATGGTTTGTTTTGTGCCAGATTTATTTATTTAAAGGACCACCAACGTAAGTTTTTTTTCATTTAAGAGTTTCCTCTTGGCGGTGCAACTAATTCATGCATCTTCTTCCAGTCAGTTCTATCCCAGGCCATATTCTTGATCTCCATATACGACATGACAGTGTTTCCTTTATCTATCCTATGTAGTAATTCCTCGGTCTTCCCTTTTCTCTTTTGCCCTCTACATTACCTTCCACTATGCTCTTTTAAAAATCGTCATGTCGTATAAGGTGGCCCAGCATTTTATCTCTTCTATCCTCTATTGTTTTCATTAATGTTTGTTCCTTATTCACCCTTTTCAAGACTTCCTTGTAACATAAGATACAGTGAAGCATTTCAATTCAAGACACTAGTGGATTACGTCTAACTGTTCTTACATTTAGAGGCAATCACAGCGTGCTTTATGTTTGAGAAACATTAAAATGGATTTAAATTATTAAATGTTATTTCATGAATAAAGATATTATAATATAAATAAATGATAAAAATTATTTCAATTGAATTTAAATTAAATTACAAATAAATAAAATATAATGGCGAGGTACATCAACTATTTAATTTAGACTTGAATACTGAGTTACTATCATAGTGATCATCAAGTTCAGGCTTAGTTTTTATTTTTTCACTGTTTAATATAAAATATTTTATATATATAATTACGTGACTTCATACGCATGACTTGGATGTAAAATAACCCATGCCCTTCTTAATGCTAAATGCTACATTTACCTATTGTGTTAATTTTATATGATATGCCAAGAGATATGATATAAAAAAATAATTTCTCATATTTATAATATTGAGTTAGAATTTTTGATAGGATAAGAAACGGGTTTCATGAAAAGACTAAGGTAAAGGAAAGGAAAAAAGTAATTTTGATACATATTTTTTATATTACGAATTTAGTTGCCAATGATGATGACGATGATCCAACTATTAATTGTCCACTGTTGAACATAGACCTTCCCCATAACGAGAATTTTGCCAGTAGTTGCTACACTTGGCAGGCAGTTTGGCAACCGCAGTTAGGCTCTGGTATTATTTTAGGAGGCTGCTGACCACCCTTCGTACATTAAATTCCCTTAGTTGCCTCTTACGACACCCACGGTAAAAGAACCCTTCTATGCCGGTATCACGCGGTATACAAATAAAATATAATTTAATAAACATGACATATAATATTATAAACATAACATATGTTAAGGAAGTTTGTGGTAGAGATATCTCTGTAGGTATCTGAACAATTTTTACTACAGGAAACCATTTCGTTTCAACGGGAAAATATAAAAACTTCAATAAAAATATAATTATACTGAAATGACAATGTCAATTTAAGTTAATCTCAGAATTGAAATGGCCCCAACGTTTTTGAAACATTGATATTCGCTCTAAAATTAGTGAATTACGTAGTAGATTTGAGAAAAGAGATTTCAAATTAATAACAACTATTTATTATATTAAATGCTATACAATTACATCAATTTTCATGTCCTCGTGTTAAGATACGCCGCAGGGTATCTTAGCATGTATGTGTTATCTCATAACACATTATGAGATAACGAACATCTGGGGCCGCAACCCGGAAAATGCAGACCCGACCCAATTTAGGATATTTCGCTTCCGAAATTGGCCAGATCGAGAATCGAACCCAAACAGATTTATGAAAATCTACATCCTTACACAAGATCAAGTTTAATTATTAGAAAATGATAAAAATATTAAATATATTTCCACGGATATGAATTAAAGATGTGGCGTCAAATATCAAATATGGGATTATAGATCCCGTATAAAATATATAATTTTGAAAGTTACGGCAGGGGTTTGTTTGTAGAATAGAATGACAAATTATCATCATATCAGCCTTTAACTGTTCACTGCTGAACTATGTAGAGCAGTGGATTTTGGAGGTTTTGCTACTAGTAATAGTATATAGTAGGAGTTTTGCCACGCTACGTAGGCGGATTGGCAACCGCAGTCAGATTTTAGAGAAGTTATAAGGGAGACGCTGGGTAGCAGCTCCTCGCCTTCCCTTAGTCGCTTCTCACGACACCCATGGTAAAGTAATAGGCCCATTCTATGCCGAGACGAAAATTTTGCATATTTGTCTGTCTGTGTGGAATACTTGTTTAAAAACGTGTTATTATAATGAAATTGAGCATTAATAATGAGATATTGAGCACAAATTGAGACACTGTTTATATAATTTAAGGAAGATATTTCAAAACACATTCCAAATTAAAATACATTCAATCTAATGTGTTTATGAAAATTTAATGATTCATTGGAATCGAAATTGCATCAAAACAAGTTTTCTTTTGCACAATAAAATGTTAATAAATAGTTTTTGTAACATTATGGCAAATAATTTAGTACTGATGTATTTACTTTTCACCTGAATTAAGATACTTCAATCTTCTATCAGCTGTTTGTGGATTTAACGTTGTTTGTTTTTTTGTTGTTACAGATGGATATCGCGCACCCGTGGTGAAGAATAAACATGAATTTTAAATGTTTGATCTTATTGATAGCGGCGATAGTCAAAATAAACGTAACGGAAAGTCGACGCGACGAAGAGAGGAGAAGATGGAAAAACAACAGAGGCTTCTCTCATCCCGTCAATATTTGCGACATCCAAGATAGAGGATCTAAAGTACATTGTTATTGCGACACAATAAAAGTAAAAATGGCGACACGAGCAGACTGTTGGGTCTTCAATGGCGGTATAGCCGTAGACGATCCGTTCTGGTCAACATTTTATACACAACCGAATATAGAAAAGCTTGTATTCAATGTCCGAGCCGATGGTGGATTAACGTATATACCTTCTAAAGTTATTGCTAAACTTAATCACTTAAAATATCTTAATATACAATACGCAAACATTTTTAATATACCAGCCTTTGCATTTGTAAATTCGACTACGCTAAGGGAGATAGCAATGCCAAAGGACAAAATAATGAAACTGGAGAAGATGGCGTTTGCACATCTACTAATGGTGACGAACTTAAGCATAGTAGAAAATCAAATATCCGAGATACAGCAAGACGTTTTCTACATGCTACCAAATTTACAAAGTTTGTATCTATCGAAAAACGCTTTGAGTCTGCTCTACGACGGTTGTTTTGAGCATCTGAGCAATCTAATAAAATTGGACCTCCACAATAATTTGTTGACCGTCGTGATCAGAGAGAACTTCCAGGGTCTATCTAACTTGATTACGTTAGATATGAGGAAAAACAAATTAACGATGATAGGTGATTTGGCATTCGCTGAACTTTGGAATCTGCAGGAACTTTATTTGGACGGCAACGAAATAGAATTTATATCGGAGAGGGGTTTCGGTGGACTGGGTCAGTTGAACAAACTTTCATTAGCAGATAACAAATTGAAAACATTGGAAAATAACGTCTTCGGTGATATACAAAAGTTGACCGTTTTAGATTTAAAAAATAATGACTTGGTAACGCTGAGAAAGGAGGTCGTTGAGAAGATCTTAGAAAACATGAAGACGCATTATGGTTTAATCTCTCTGAACGGTGAGTTGTGTTTCATAACTTCGGGCTTCACTTTGTCTTTATTGTTTAGTATTCTAAGTCACTTGGAGATTATAGGAAGCCGCTGAGTTTTATTGATTATTCTCGCAACGGTTGTCTTCATTTGAACAAAATTTTATGGTATAAATCTATATTATTTTACTTAATGCTTCGTGTCTACTTCTGTGAAATATCAACAGGCTCTTTTGGTATAATGGAATAATAATACATATTTATTATTATCAAATTTATTAGTATTATTATATATTAGAATTTATTTATTTATTTATTTATTTATTCATTAGTACAAATATGTGTACATGGCGGACTTAATGCTAAAAGCATTCTCTCCCAGTCAACCATAGGGAAGTGTCAGAATACTCGAATGCGGTACTACTAATTATTGATATACATACATACTAAAATTACATATATAAACGAATAAATATATATAAATAACAAATATACTTACACATATATGACATATACTATATTATACACGAAATTGAGAATAATATAAAGTACTTACTGCTCGGATAAAAATAAAAAGTGTGCGTTAACGCTTTTTTTGAAAGACGGTTTAGTCGGTAGTCTCTTAATGGCATCAGGAAGCGCGTTCCAGAGTCGTGAAGAATGTAGGAGAAAAGAGTTTGAAGCGTAACCAGTACGGTGAGAGGGGTATTTATAATTGTAACAGGTAATTAAATCAAAAACATAGAAAACAGTTATTAATTAACTATTGAATTTAATGATAATTAATGTAAAGAATTAAAACCAGTTTTAATTTATCATTACATTTGGAAATATAGCAAGAACTAAACTACATCAAGATATTTAGTTTGATAAAAAAATCGATCATAGAACAATTAAATAAACAGAGAACATTTAAGCAGCCATTACATAAAGTTACTTAATGTACTCGTATGTACTTTGTTCATAAAGTATTTAACACTTTGCCCTATTATTTTACATTATATTTCGTAAGAGATAAAGCTGCTTTTTAAATGTGAAATTTATTATTATAACAGAAACGTTGGAAGTTTTAGTATTTTCGAGAGAATTTTATATCCGCTGCCGAGTTCTGTATTTTACGTCCTCTCTATTTAATGGCGCTACAAACGTAGTGAATTATTAATATCATAAAGGTATATGTTTTATACTATAGGAAACAAGCTATTGCTTGCGACTCTGTCTGCATACAATTCGAATACAATATTTGCTGAAGTGCATTTTCGTATAAGTCTGTCCATGTATCCATGTACAATCATAATTTAGGCACCTTATTAAGTGAAGGTGATGAAATTTTACAGGACGATATAGTATAGTGTTTCCCAACCTTTTTTGTGCCATGCCCCACTTTAACATTTCTAAAATTTTTTGCCCCATACATAATTTTTCCCGACAAAATTTACTTAACTACTCTAATCGCTCAGTTGATATTTTGGTAATGTCAAACGAAATAATACTTAATAAATATTTACAGCGTTTTTTTATTTGTTTTATTTATTAAATTTGGCACCGAAATCTACATGTAGCATTGCATTTAAATGACCCGGAACAAAAGAATTAAAATCGCTTCGAGTCCATATTTTAATTGCCCTCCCTCCTTAACTATCAAATTGCCCCCCTGTGGGGCGTGAACCCACGTTGGGAAACACCGATATAGTAGATCATTTTTAGAAAAAGATATTATATAGAATTATTTGTAGAATTTAATTATAATCAAGCTTACTCGTATTTTTGATTATCAAATAAATTATGATGTTACTGAATATATTTTGTTAAATGCAATCAGATATATTCATGAGTCTTTTGATTATATAAGTCCCTAAATTATTTTGTATTTTGAAATGCAACCTGGATTTTGCATAAATGCATCTACAATGCAAAATTATTGGGTCAATTTAAAAGACAAGCATTAAACTAAAAAACCTAATAAATATGTTTTATTCAATTAAACTTAATCATAAACATTCTTAAATAGTAATTTTTTTAAGAATCCTTTGCTCTGTTCGGAATGCAATTTCTGATTGGAATGGATAAAATGACACATCTAATCTAATTTTATTATTATTGTTATTATAAATATATATTCTTTAATATCAGATAATTGTTCGTCTCATCAAATCATTTCGTTTGATACCCTATAAACTGTATCTGAGGAATGTTACATTGTAAAACACCTTCTAGAAGGTGACTTCGAATGTGCCCTCTTACGTTAAGACTCGTCTATAAATTGGGTTCACGTGTAATAGTTTATTTGATATACTAGTTTAGAGACGTGACTGCTATAGAATGGTACGTGACTAACATGCTCTGAGTTTTTTTTTTATCTTTTATTTGGACCCATCATATGGATCAACATTTGGATCTGGAGACAGTTTTATAGAATTGTACGTGTTCAACATGATCTTATGATCTTTCATTTGTATTCTTTTAAGCTTTCATTTGTATCTACAATTTTGCGTAAAACTGTATAATTATTTAATATGATCTTGGTTGCCTTTTGTGTTCTTTCATTTGGACCTTAATTTAGATCTGGAGACAGTTTTACAGAATCTTACGTAGTCAACATAATTTTGGGAAATTTTCTGTATTCTTTCGTTTGGATGCATAACTTGTGTCTACATTCGGATTCAGAGATTAGTTTAATATATGGTCTCAGCTGATTTTTTGTGTAGTTTTATTTGGATTCATAATCTGGATCTACAGAATGTTTTCATAGAATCGTACATATCTAGCATGATCTTAGTTGATTTTTTATATTCTTTTATTATTAGGTGTAACACATTTTTTATTTAGATATACACGTAGATCTAGCAATAGATTTTTTTTCCTCTAGAACCAGTTAATGAATCCATGGATCATCTTTTTCATCTTATATTATACAAAGGAATTCCTATATTTTTTCTCATCAATTCATAGATTGTTTTATTACTATCAGTATATGATTTTTATAAAATTTTTCGTCTAAATTTAAAACGTTTATTGTATTACCGTTAATAAATCCACCATTTATGTATGGTTTGCTACTATGCGACGTTTTAATAGCATAAATATTTTACGGTAGACAAGTTATGTTTTGTACAGAACCGTTGTGCTCGCATTGTCGCTAGTGATTTAACTGACTTTGTTTCGGTCCTGCATCGTTCATATTGTGTGAGCTTGGTACTTATTACTCTAACAATGTCCTGCGAAATTGGTTAGTATTATTGCAGTGGATAGTTAACAGCTGATATGATGATGACGATTGTTAAATTAGAATTAGTTTCATTACTACTGTAAGTATCTTACTGTGGCCAAACTGAAGATTTTTTAAAGAGAGAAGTTTAGAAATCGACAAGCTTATGTGTGGCTATGTTTCGTATATAAAGCAAGTATGGAAAGTATAACAGAATAATAACTGACGGTTTGTAGTCTCTGCTTACAGTTAAGTAAAATTTGGCGAGAGTTTGTAATTATAATGAATTGCGATTTTCTAGAATCAGTCAAAATTAAGCCATAAATCTAAATAAGTTCTTAATTATATCAGTTACAGTATTCTGTTATACTTGTTTTACTATATTTTGTTACCTGTTTTAAAGAATAATCTTGATAGACAGACAGAAAAATGATTATAAAAGACCAATTATTAATTTTGTTGCACGAAGCACTAGAAACTAAAATATTCGGTTCAATAATATTAGATATGTGAAAGTTTGTAGGATACACTTGTAAAAATAGGTGTTATTCAAATACACATAAACGACAACATAGGTTTGAGTAAAATTTGAAAGATAGAAAGACGTTATCCTAATTTAATAAAGGATACTTTTTATCTTGACACACATAATTTTCTTCACAAAAATACATTAGGATTTGTGTTATGAGAAATTACTGTTTGATGTAGGTTTTAAATAATATCTACGAAACTGTATTGATTATTCAATGTGTATTTGTTCTTTCTCAGGTAACAACTTGACCTGTGACTGCCGCTTATCTTGGTTGCATACTCTTTACAACGAAACACGGAGCAAGCGATTAAAAAACTCATTGAAGTATTTAAACTGCATCATGGATGATAAACTTGAAATAAGCTTAGGTAAAACAATAGTTGTAAATACTGAACATTCGCCAAATATTAAACAAATTGATTACAGAAGAGATTCCGAAGAAGAAGACCTTGAATATGATAAAGTTTACGATGATGCTGTCAAAAATAGAGAATTAGAAACAGTATCGCCTCGAAGGAAACTTCTGCACATTCTAGAAGATAAGTTGATTTGTTCAAATCGACTCCATTCAGAGGATACTTTTTCACCGCCTACGCAAGACGAAGTGAAATATTATCAGGCATCGTCAAGCGAAAAGAGCTTTTTTAATACATTACTATTAGTTGTTTTTGCTAAGTACTTTTAGATTTAGGCGACAAAGAATTTTAAAACTGATTAGAAAATGTTATTGATAAATAATTTAATAGTAATAATAACGACCAGTGTTCGAATATTCATGGATTATTGAAACAGTCTTTCCATTGAATAACCGTAAGGTTTTGTGTTAATCCGATTTAAGTTTAGTATTTTATTTTGTAATTACCAATATTTTATACTTTCTAAATATATAGTCTCAAAAAGGATTTCTAATTATAAGTTTCATCATATTTATTTTTTATATTTATATCAGCTTTAGTGAGTTTTGCCAGTAGTTTTCACGCTTGGCAGGCGGTTAGAAATCAGATTTTCGTGATGTTTTATGTAGGATGCTACTGCCTTACCTATCTCTCTAGTATTATGTTTCCTTAGTTACCTCTTAAGACACCTACGAGAAAAAGAAGAAGCCCTTTCTACGCCAGCCATACTTTTTTATATTGATTTTCTTTAATTAGTTATTTAGTATGTAGTTAAATAAATCTTTATGTTCAATATTATTAGTTTGTAAGTACCTAATAAATGCTTTGTGAGAATTATGCCCCTCAAATAAATGAAATCGTTTTTTCCTGTTTGCAACAATTTCTCGAAATTCTACAAAGAATTTCATGGCTACGCAGAATCGAGTTATGTGAATATTAGCACCGTTTTTAGTTTACCAGCCATTTTAATCGTTTGTGCCTACTATCCGATTTCGATAAACTAAAATTGAATCTGTACTAAAATAGGGTATACCTGACTTTTAAACCCGTCGTGTGCCTGAGTGCTGACCGAATTCAGGCTACTTACTAAGAGACAATTTTTAGTTAATGCATGTCTTATGTAAGACTTCTCTATATTGTCCAATCTAAATGTATTCCAAAAAAAGGCATTTGCTATCACCACTACATTGGTGATGGTAGCAATTGCTTTGACACCAAATTTACGAGTTTTCATATATTATTTAATTATCTATTAATATAATATTATATATATAATATTTTTTATTTATAATAATAATAATACTTTACTTTACTTATACTTTACTTACTTTATTTGACTATTTATTACACCAAAACATAGAATTATAGAAAATTTAAGTGAAATGCCGCCGCTAGTTTTACGGAATGGGTTACGTTAGTTAACATACTGTAAATAGATTTTTATATTTAATGAAATTTTTTTCTGAACATTAATTATACTTGGTTAGAATTGAATGACTTGAGAGTCTTATCGTTTAGTATCTGTGTTGGTTTGATTTAAAGTTTAAAATTCATTGTTTCATACACCGAAATTAAAAAGTATATGATTGTTTACTTCCAACATTCTTTAAAACTTTGAATGTAATTAAAAGTTTGGAGAAAATAAAGAAAGAAATATATTAGATTGAGAACAAATTTGGAAATTATATTAATTATTTATTTTATACTTTATTACACAAATTATAAAGTTGTGAATACAGTGAATCTTAGAAATGATACAAAAGGCGGCCTTATCGCTAAGCAATCTCTTTTGGACCACCTTTGGGTAGAGGACATTGAGAAATTAAAAAAATAATATTTAAAAAAATTTCATCTATTCATTTTTTTCTTTATTAGCCACATTACAAAACACGTTTGGTATAAAAGGCGGGTTTAATTTTATATTAAACATACTCTCCCAGTCAATCTTTGGAAAAACAGTAAAATAATTATGTGGTGAAAAATATTGAAAATTGTTTTGGATAAACAGTTACAGACGTATCTATATTGACTTACAAATTACAACACATACAATGGAGAACTACTGCACAATATGATTATATAAATATACATACATGAATACATTAAACAAATATTACTTACATATACAAATAATATATTAATATTAATACACAAAACATACATATAAATATACATACAGACACGATAATATACTATAATACTAATAAAGCAACGATAGAATTCAAAGGTGATGACGATGATGATGAATTGCTTTCACCTCTTCTTCATCTGAGATTATCACTAGACGTCACGGGCTTTTATCCGTTACCTCATTCGTATTACCGGGATAAGAAATAGCTTTTATCCTGCTTCATCATATATAGTACATTTTATAATAATTATATGTTAAAATTTATAGTGATTGGTTACACCGTTAAGGCGTTATAAGGTAACAAACAAATACACTTTTACATTTATAACGTTAATAAGGATTATTTCAGCTCTTAACTGTCCACTGCTGAACATAAGCCTTCGCCATAAGAGGAGTTTTTCCAGTAGTTGCCACACTTGGCAGGCGGGTTGGCAACCGCAGTTAGGCTATTAGAGATGTTTTAAGAGGGACGCTGGTGCCCATCCCTCGCCCGCCCTTAGTCAGTTCTTACTACACCAACTATTCTATGCTGGGACCATACGGCGAATAGTAAAGACTAAACAGGAGGGAATTGCACAATCAAGTTTTATATGAACTGACCCATAACTGTATTGCATCTTGCAGTTTACTTGAGATTCTTGCTAACAATAACTCGGGGCCTGGTCATCCAATTACGAGAACTTTTTCAATATCCTTCCATAAACGTCGGTTAGAAGTCACTATTATAGAGAATTTGCAGAGAGTTATTATTATTAAAACTAGCTGCCTGCCCTGGCTTCGCATGTCTGCCTCACACATTCACTTTATTACGTAAAATTTTGTTATTCTAAAATTTTCACTTTTACATACGATTTTTTAAATATTTTCTTTCACATAAACTTTTTCCTGATTTGTATTAAAAAATACAATAATAGAAGAATTAGGCAAATAAATGCGGCGGTTCTAATTGATGTTTATTTTAATAGATTTTTTTTAATTATTTTTTTGGGCTTTTACCTTCTTCAGGTATATCAGTCCTATCGTACCCTGAACTGATTATTTTAATAGATGTAAAAATACATATTTTTAACATCACCAAAAAAAAAAATATAAAAAAAAAATATAATCATGTTTAAATAAATAACCGTAAATGTATTTCATAATTTTTTTTTCAAAACTTTGATTTTGATTTGATGATGATACTGTAAAATCATGGATATAATTGCTTTTAATTAAAAAGAAAAGAACATTCAAGTTACAAATTACAGTTTGTAAAAATAATGAGTAAATGACATAAATGCAAAATTTATACATCGTTTTGTAGCAAGTGTACATATAGTATTTCTTTCATAAAGCGTACATAAGAATGAAAATATACTTTTTATTTGTTATTTTCATTAATTGCTAATATTTATTTAATATAAACTTTTTTAAATGTAAAAATTGTAATTTTATAATTATTCAATCAATAAAATTGTGATTATTATGATTTTTATATTTTAATACCTAATTAATTTTAATTTTAAATGAGATAAATTGTATTATACTGTTGGAGTAGCTAATACATAAGATTTGTGGTTTGTATATATGTAAATAGTAAATTAAGGGTATATTTAAAGTATATTATATATAGTATATTAGTACACTTAAGGTAATGTTTCAAAATTTCAAAATTCTGATATTTTACATTCACACATTTACTTACCAATCTACTACTACATCTTCACTTATAAAAATCAGTTTACTTATTAAGCAATAAAATAATTAAATTTTTAATAAGTTTATTATTTACATAAGTAAATAACAAATATGTATAAAAATTACATTACAAATTAATTACCGGTAGAATTTCTGAATGATTGTTCAGAAAATAATGGTTGTATCCTACGATTGAAGAAAAATATATTTAAAATTGGCTGAATTATGATAGCCAGGTTAAGCGATTTCAGATAAGAGAGTAGGTAAGAGTTGAAGAGTCAATATCGAATACTCTCGTGTTATGTCACTAACTCGTAATAATATAAAAATAGCTTGTGATATAAATAAAATATATACGTATAAATAATATTAATGCACCTTATATAGTATTGTAATTGAATTAAGCGTAGATTTTATAAATGACTTCCTAGTTTAGACTCGTGCCGTTAGTATTTTGATAGAGAGAAATGTCTACCAATGACATTTTCTATTGTAAATACTCCAAAATGTTTGTGCAATGAATAAAAGTAATTGGGGTCCACTTTCAATTAATAAAATTTATAATATCGTTTCAAAAAAAGAATAAAAGTTTTTATCTAATTTAAAATTTGAAACATATTGTGAACTTTTATTCAATTAACTCAACAAATTATAAATAAATTAGATTATATTCGTGTCCCTTTTTTAAATTGTAAATTCTAAATTGTGTAATAATTATAAAATTGCTTTTGTTCACTAATTGTTAATTTTAAATTCGTGTCTTAAATAATATTGTAAATATTAATTTTAAAATACTCATTAATTTTGTAATGTTATGAAATTTGATAACATTCAGTGTAATTTTAAACAGAATAGATCTCGTTATATCATTTTTACAATTTAACTTAATAATATTATTGCATAATAATAATAATAGAGTGTTATTTAATTTATTACTTATTCACAAAATTTTGTAACTTCCTGAAAATGTAATTAAAGATCACTCAAATTGTTATATTAAATTCTATTTGTGTGTGAATACAATAAATTGATACTTTTTCATGAATGTTATTTTGTTGCATCATTTATCTCTTTTGATTTCAAGAGTTTTTGCCTCACTCTGCGTGTTCTACCGCTTGTACAATGGATTGTGCTCAGAGGAATTGATCAAAATGGCCCACGGCCATTTTTTACCATCGTATGGCTTGCTATCGGCAGGAAGTTTATCCTCATACACTAGAGCCTAAATGGTCGCGGTTTCAGAGATATTTTCTCTCACAAACACTCAGGTAATGGAATGAGGTCCCTGCCGAGGTTTTCCCAAGAGAATGGGGTTCTTCAAAAGGGGGTTAAAGAGGTTTTTTCAGGGTCGGCAACGGCAACGGCTCCTACCTCTGAATCAAAATAGCTTACCATGTATATGCACCGCTGTGCATTGTATTCCGATAGCGATGCTCTTCGGCTCCCAAATAACAGGATCTCGGCAGATCCTGAAAAAAACCTCTGGTATTGCTGGCATTCATAGGCTACGGTAACTGCTAACCTGCCACCTCAGTGGTAAAAAAATCTAAATTCATATCAGGCTTCTTATAAGGTATTAACTTTTAGAATTTCACGTTGCACGCTTTATGGTTATAATATGCATCGAATAAAGACACGGCCAGTGTACTCTGCAGAAACCTTCAGTATAGTGACACAATTTATATGAAATAATGGGACAATAAGTGGGGTTTTTTTTTAATGGGTAATAATGGAATGGTATCCCCTGCCTGCCTAGTACTGCCTACCTGAGCCATCGGTATACGCTGGCGGAGCACTAGTGAGGGATAATAGGTGACGATGAAAACAGATCAGTTAGCCCATCGTGACGAATTCCATCAGAATAGAATTCATTAGAAAAAAAGCATGATGGTTTTCAGGGGGACCCGCATAGAGGTCGACCTGATGGAGTGTGTTGATAGTAATGGGGAAATTAGACCCCATTACTAACAATTCCTTTCCCCTCAACAATAAGTGGGTAGAAGAAAAAACTTCTGCCTTAGAAGCGGAGATATGACAATTACATCAGTCTATTCGCGACCACGGTAGGTGTAATTTGAATTAAATAATCGTATTAATTTTCATTATAGGGTAGACAGATCCTAAAGTTATTGGAAATCCTTATTTTTTTTATTTTTATTTTTACTTATATAATAAATGAAGAAATGAGTTTGTTTGTTATGTCTTGGCGTTGTCATGACTCGACCGATTTTCATGAAATTTAGTAAGCACGTAGTCTTCTTCACAGTAGAGGTCATAGATAACTAGATGACTAATGAACAAGGAATGCGACTTTAGTCAAAAATTTTTTTTTTATACAACTTAGAATGGTAAACAAGCTGACGGTCTACCTGATGGAAAATAGTAACCGTCGCCTATAGACATGAGCAAGTACCATGGACATAATAGAGTATACTGTTTCGCCCATGATACCCGCCATGTGTTGCCATTCCTGAGGACTCAGGTGTTATTCCTTTGTACCCAGTAAATTCACGCCATATCCCTCCCTACAAACCGAAACACAGCCATGCAGACACAACTGCTTTACGGTAAAAACACTACTTAGTCGCAAAAATTTCACACGAAATAAAAATTTTAATTTGGAAGTCGGTTATAAATTAATTAGGGTGTAGTAAGGTTTCTTAAAAGTCGACAATACGCATGTGATATCCCTGGTGTTATAGCCGTCCATAGGTACAGGTCTAAAGGCACGTAAAATATATCGCGGACAAGTTTTCAATGTTTATTCTAGTTCATTTTAAATGCCTATTGAATACTGTGGCACTAAATAATAATAAATGTCACACTATCACAAGAATCGTGCGTTTTACAATGCACTTTTTTCCACGCGCAACCACTTTTTGGAATCAACTTCCATCAGCAGTATTTCCGAACCGATACGACATTATAACCTTCAAGAAAAGAGCATATATTCCTTTTTGAAAGGCCGACAGCACACCTGCAATGCCACTCGTGTTACAAGTCGCAAGCTCGTTTGCCCCCTATGTCATAAAAAAAATAACCTTTCCTTTTACGTCAGGAAAAATGCATCATGCAGATCCATACAGTTTAGGGACCGCGTGCGTACTGCCGGACTCCTACCGGCTAAATAACCTGACGATATACCTCCCATCTCATAATAGCGACGGTGCCGCAGGTTCCCGCTTTGAAGTCTACCGGGACACCGCCAGAGACCCATCGAACTCGGTGACTCCCTATAGGCGTGCAGGGTATATGCTGCGCGCCCGCTCTCGAAACAAAAAAATAATAACCTACGGTAACCCCGTTTACCATCAGACGGGCTATATGCTTATTTGCCACCATAGCAGTATAAAAAAAAATTAATTTCATTAAAATAAATATTTACATTTTTTTTCCTTTTAAGTTCGTTGGGTCGTTTTCCGAGTACTCATTTATCTGCAAAAGAAACTGTGGAAGTCCTTAAAATTGGCGTGACGTAACTTAGTCGCAGAAAAATTCATACGAAATGACAACCTTCTTAATTTGGGAGTCGCTTAAAAACTAATTAATTCCCTTAAAATAAATATTTACCGTCGTGAGAGTATTTTTTTTTTCCCTTTTAAGTCGGCGGCGTCGCTTTCCGAGTACTCATTTATCTGTTATTAACTTAGAGTGTTTACATTGAAATCGGGCAAAGTTTGCATTATCTGTGAATTTTTAAAATCAATTAAAAACATTTTAATATTTTCGAATAATTAGCTGGTCCAGATCTCCCTCAGAGATAAGTCCACCCTTGCTCACAATATTTATAACTGCATTATCTTTGTAATTTATAAATGTAATCAAGAATGTACAATTGTTATTTAAAAAAAATGCTCGTGTAACGAACGAAAATATTAATTCATAAATAAAAATATTCTAAAAAAATGTTCGTCCTTTTTTAAGTCAGTTAAAAACTGAATTAGGTTGTATTTTTTACGTTTATTACCTCATAACTCCGTTAGTTCTGAACATACATACATACATATCTGTCACGCCTGTCTCTAATTAGGATAGGCAGAAACAATGGAACGCCAAAAAGTAAATTTAGTTCTAAACAGATTTTTTTAAATTATTATTCTTTATCTGAAAGGATATATTTAGATATTGGTCCTATACAAATTTTATCAAAATCGGTTCAGTCGTTTAATTTTAAATAAAAATAACTGCTTACGTTACAATTAAAGTCGAGTTTTTTTCTTGTACAACACAATCTCTAAATTATGTTTATTAACTCAATGCTCTTTGAAATCTGATGCTGGTAAAAAAGCCTTTGTCTTGGAACTTGGCCATGGACAAGGCTACATTTAATCCCTGTTAATAAGACTGCTATACAGGCATTTTGTTTTAATTATTGATATAAATGTAAAATTATAAGAATAGTGCCATTGTAATCTGACAGCTGGTCGTGTGGTCCCAGCATAGAATAGGCTACCCCTTCCTGTCCCGTGGGTGTCGTAAGTCGACTAAGGGACGGCGAGGGATGGGCAGCAGTGTCCCTCTTAAAACATTTCTAAAGCCTGACTGCGGTTGCCAATCCGCCTGCCAAGCGTAAACTACTAGCAAAACCCCCCCAAGGGGGAGGCTTATGTTCAGCAGTGAACGGTTAAGGGTTGATATGATGATGATGATGAATCTAACTATTGGTTTAACTTACGTCTAATTTGGTCTAGAAAGCTCGACTAGTTTCGGGACCGTCCGAGGCCCTTAGTCTTGAACGATCGAGCAGCAAACGCGAAGCCTGACAAACCAGTCAGGTAAAATAAAATGCAAATTAAACCGGTAAGTATTATATAGAAATATATCGTGTATTAGAAAAAAAAAATTATGACTAAAACTAATTTTTTCATTTATGTTGAAACTAAATATCAATAAACGGTCTTTTTTTTTAAATGGATGATAATGGAATGGTAACCCCGCCCGCGCTATCGGTATACACCGGCGGGGCACCAGTGAAGGATGATAGGTGAGCATGAAGTAGGTCAGTTAGCCCATCGTGACGAATTCAACAAGAATTGTTCACGATGGTTTCCAGGGGGAACCACGTGGAGGTCGACCTAATAAGGTATATTGCTAGCAATGGGGCATAAACGGTCTTTGTTCCGATACAGTTTGTCTTCCGACGTAGGCCTCCTCTAAAGATTTCCATTCTGTCTTGCCCTTTGATTTGCGAGTCCATATTGGACCGGCTTTTTTCCTAATGTCATTCTCCCATCTCTTATTTTGTCTACCTCTGTTTCTTTTAGTATCTCGTTGGTACCATTCTGTTATTATTCTTATCTCATATATTAAAAAAAACTTTTGAAAATATTTTTGAAAAGGTTGAAGCTACATTTTCTTTTCTTCGAGTCATAATCTTAATTTTTCATTTTTCTAATTGTAATAAAAACTGTCAAACCTTATTTGTAAATTTCTATTGTAGGTAGTATATTAATTTATTTTAACATCTATTGTATAAGTAGGTAGGTATTATATTTATTTATAGTATATGTATTTATGTAATATTTTATTACATATCTTAATATTTTATTTAACTGTAATTTGTTTATATGCTCTAAATATTAATAGTTGTAGCACTTCAGCTGCCCGCTAACAACATACTTTCTAACTGCATTGGGTTGACTGGAAGAGATCTCTGTCAGAGATAAGTCCACCCTTGCTTACAACATTTATAAATGCATTAATAAAGTAATTTACAAGTGCAATAAAGAAGATATATGAATAATTATTTATAATTAATATAAAAAAAGTATGTACCTATCTAATTAAAAAATAACCAAAATATTTGCACGTCTTCTCAGAGACCAAATGTTCATCACTTCTATTTGATCATTTAAAATCTTTGCGAAATAATTTCATTCCATCAATATATCCCGGTAAGGTCGACGAATTCACCGATATAGCGT